CCATACTACCATGGTATACTATAACATACCATGGTAGTATGACATATATATGATATATTCATATACATATATGATATATTCATATATATGATATATTTATACATATAATACGGTATATGAAATGTTCTATACTATATTTTATAGCAAAAGGTCAATAAAAAAACTAATAATATATATTTATGTCTGCTTCTATTCTATGTGACTTAGGTTTAATGCATTCGAGAAAGTTTAACTGCAAAACTTACATTTTCTTCACTTGTGGGTAAAAATAAGTTTTTCTTGTGTTCTTATTTATTTAAAATGTCAAACAAGAATATAAAAAAACTTATTTTTGTCCAAAAGTGAAAAAAATGTTAGTTTTGCAGTAGAACTTTTCATTTATTCCTGTTCTCGGTATGTATCTCTTGATAGTCATTTTTATGTCAAACAGGCGTCAAAAAGCTACAATCATTTTGACGTCTGTTTGACATCAAAATGACATCAAGATTAGCATCATGGCATGGGACGTTTTGCAGTCAAATAGCCGTCATTTTGCCATGATTTTGATTACTCATTTTGGCATCATACTCATTGTCAATTTGATAGCATTTTGACGTCATTTTGACTAGATTGTTTTCACTGGGCACCATTCACTTCCCCAGGCCACCTCACTCGCTCTTGGCAGGGGACGTTTTCGAACGCAACCTTTCCTGTTGTGATGATAGGTGATAATACCAACACGCGATTTTAATCTAAGGTAATCTTTCGTTTATTTGCAATATTACTATAAAGTAACGCAATATATAGTTTGTAAAGATAAGTGCACAAACAATTTTAATAATATTTTTAGTATTTCTATCGTACTTAATGAGAAAACCGTTTCACAAGGTTTTCAGGTTATAATATGCATTTACAAAGTCGCTTAAGAAATATAAAATATAATAAATTCTCACATCGAGGATATTAATATATCATGAATCTTTCCCTTGAATATTGAATTGCTGTTGTTGTGTGTTGTGTGCAATTGAATATAAAAATTGAAGTGCTAAAAATATTATTAAACTTGTTTGCGGACATGTCTATGCAACATTTCTAAAGAGTTTACGCTAAAAGAAGAGATTCATGATCGAGTCTCAGCATTTTAAAGCACATGCATTTATGAGATATTCTCATCCTCATTTGTTTTTTGCAACAGTGTTGTCGCAAAACTTGTCATAGTGGACATTTAATTGTCTACAGATTAACAGAATCCGTTTCGTAGCATCTTTGTATGCATGTATATGTCAATCCGACATTTCACTGTTTATATTATTTATATTAATATTTACAATCCTGTATATGATCCCTTTTATCATGTCCATTTCACATCCATTAAAGGCTGTATATGTATATCCATCATGTCCTTTGGACGTCCATGGAATATCCACTGGATTTGTCAGGAATCAGTTAATACGTCCACCAAATTCATAAATGGATATCATATAGACATCTCTTAATTGTATGTTTGAAGGATATAAAACGGATGACTTATGGATATTCTCAATGTAAAGGATATTTATAGAACGGTTTTCGGATATCCGTGTGCTGTCTGGGTACTTATGGTTGCTACTCAAATCACCAAACATTCATATTTTATTTATTTTTTATAAATATATTGCTTTTATAATTATAATATAATTTTTCAAATATTTCTAACCTCAAACCTCTAATCTCTTTAGCGAACAAAAATCTTTAGAAATTATATTTCTTATATAACTCTATATACATGTATATGTATAATATTACTACTTAAAAATACTACTTTAAAATATTTTACATATACTCAAACCCAGGTAGAACACAAAATCATAATAATATCATATTTAAGAGCATTTTGTGATAAATTCTTGATGTAGCAATGATTTTTAAGTGATTTTTAACTAAGTATGTAAAAAAGAAAATCACAATGACATCAAAATGATATCTAAATAATGTCAAAATGATGAAAAAATGATCAAATCATGATTAAAAAATGAGTTTTTGTAATTTTCTAATCCTCTTGATTGCTTGCATTCAATAAAATAAATATTTATTTTGCAACTATAATATTAAAATAATAACTATTAAATAATGTCAAAAAGGTGAAAAAGAAAGCATAAAATTGGATACACTATCTATAATTGCACTTGACAAAATACATTTTTATCAACACAAATTCATACAATCATTAAAAATTGCACTTGACAAAAATATTCTTTTCAATACAAGTTGATACAAACATTAAAAATTGCACTTAAAAAAACATTCTTATCAATACAAGTTTATACAAACATTATTGTATCACAAAATAATATCACAAAAATATCACAAAAATAATATCACAACTCTTATTAGCTTGGTTGGAAAAATTGGCTAATTCTACAACTGATTCTAGAACTCTTATATTTCTTTATTCATAATAGCTAATATTTATTCTTATTTCTCCATTGTGCGCAGATCTTACCTTATAGACACTATGCCTACACATACTATCCCAGGTAGAACAGAAAAGTCATAATGATATCGTTAGGATGTCATCATGACATTTGTCTCTTAAAAGTCACTAATAAACAATATTCTACTTCAACAATATGTATATTAAAACGATATAAATATTATAAAAATCAAAGGACGCTTTTATTTATAATATAGTGTACGATTCCTTTTTCATTTTTACATCATTTTTGCATCATTTTTTATTAGTGGCTTTTAAGTGACAAATAATGTCATGATGACATCCTAATGATATCATTATGACTTTTCTGTTCTACCTGGGAAGTCCATTTTCGTATTAAGGTCAGGATTATAGTTAACTACGATTCAGCGACGACGCTGGATCACAGTATAACCAGTATGCCCACTCTCTGTCGGCACCTTTGATCTGGGCGTTCTCAATTTTCCGCCATGTTTTTGATCGCCCCAACAGTGTATCAACGGCTAAAAGTGCTTGGGCCCTTTTCAGGATCGTATCCAGGAAAGGCGCATACGAACTAGCGTACATTATTTATTGTAAATGGAAATGGCCTATGAAAAAAATGTTCTAATAAAAGTAGTTAACGTAATTACTTGCTCCAACGTATAAAAGTATTAACGCGTTATTCGTCAACACTGCAAATTTTTCAGTGTCACGCCGACTTTGCACTAACACACGTACAAAAATCCTGTGATTGGTCATAACATAAACATGTCGGATGCGCAGTACGGATCGGCGCGAACGTGAAACAAAAGAGCGAGTGGGCATACTGGTTATACTGTGGCTGGATATTGAACAAATAATCCAACTTTATTTCTTTGACGCTAGCGACAAAGTGAAATCACGTAACGCTCCTTGACGCTCATTTTCAGCGTCTCATGAATTTGCACCTTCACTCTTCTAAAATCGTCCTTTCACCATCGAAGATCGCGCGGGACTCCAAATTAAAAACGGAGACATTGAAAAGGTTAGGATTCATTATTTATTTAAACATATGCACTATGCTACTCTATTTTTGGCAATATATCTCCATTAAAATAATTTTTGCGTTATTTTTAACAGAATTATCGATAATTTTATACAGTATATATATACAGCCCC